GATTGGTGTCTAATTTTATTTAATATTATCTTTCTTTAATCAACTCTAAACCGTAATACGTAATGTCCGTTAATTTCTTTGAAGATCTTTCAAAAGATTTTTCTCAACTTCTTGCCGAATCTGACGATTATGACGTTGTTATTCGTGCTGGAGAAGAACCAGATGTTAAAGAATTTAATGCGCATTCAAATGTTTTACATGCTAGGTCACCTTATTTTAAAGTTGCTTTATCTAATAAATGGGCAAATAGAAATAATGGTGTTACCATCTTTAAAAAACCAAATATCTCCCCAGCTGTATTTCTTCTAATCCTTCGGTATATAAACCAATGAAATTATTTATATTTATGCTAAACTGATGGGATTAATTATGTTAAATTAATAGGATAACTTGCACTAATTCTTTAATTGCTTACTTTCTTAATATTAAGCTATATTTATATAGGAATTCTTGACCTAACCGATCAATCAAGCACTAACATTCTCGCTCTTCTCGTTGCATGTGACGAATTAATGCTTGATAAATTGGTTGATCATGTCCAAAAGCATGTAAGGTTTAAGCATGTCTAAAGTTCGCACGTCTTTTTACAAATGAGAATAATTAAATTATAATTTAATTTAGCTAATTAATCAAGAAGCTTCCTGGTTACAAAAGAATTTTGTTTACGCTTTACATACGGTCTTGAAGCTCCAAAATTGCAAGGAAATCCAAGATTATATCATGAAAATAATCTGTAAAGATCCTAAACCGTTTTTTGAATTAAAAGAATTTCCGACTTTGGATAAAGATATCCTTTTAAGTCTTATTAAGAGAGACGATATGGATATTGAAGAAATTGATATTTGGAAATATTTGGTGAAATGGGGAACAACGCAATCTGCTACTTCTAAAGGGAAATCTTATAAAATGGATGTCACTAAGTGGAGAGATAATGATTTTGCATCATTAAAGAAATCTCTGGATCCATTTATACCGTATATCCGATTTCATGAGATATCCTGTGAAAAATTTTATTATCACGTTAGGCCCTATAAAAAAGCGATACCGGAAAATATTTATGAAGATTTAGTGGCTTATTTAATGGCTAATATAATTCCTAAAGTTTCGAAGCTGCCTTCACGTTGTGGATTTATTAGTATCGATTCTGTTATAATTGAAAGAAACAAAGCTGCTGTCATTATCAATTGGATCGAAAAAAGAACCACTTTTGCTAGAAAACCTTTTTACCAATTTACGCTTACTTATCGAGCAACACGCGATGGGTTTGATTACAATAAATTTATCGCAAGAAATTGTAATACTGCAATTCTTGAGTTAATTAAGATTAAGGATTCAAGGAAAATAATTGGTGGATACAATCCTCTAGGCTTAAGAAAAAATAATAGCATTAATAATTATAACGGTTATTATGGCGGACATAATCCTTATCAAAGGCACTGGGAAACAACTCATGATAGGTGAGTTCTGTTATATCATTTATTTATTATATTTATGAATTGTATATATTTTATATAATTATTTTCCTACGAAAAATAAAATTTTATAGTTTTATCTTTTGTTTTGGAGATGGAAAAGATTCCGATACACCTATACTTAGTCGAGTTAAAACTCCCTCGAACGCAATTTATAGTTATAGCGGATCTTGGATAAACTTTGGAAATGCCGATCTGGTATTAAATGGTCAGAATGGGTCTTGCTCACAATGTTACTATGAGAATAAGATTTTAGACTCTAATAACTTTGTTGTTGAAGAATTAGAAACTTTTATTGTGCAAAAAAATTAGTTATATTTATTTGTATATGGAATGTTTGCGATTTTTTACAAATTGTATTTAATAAATTATCGAGAAATTCTCTCCAAACGAACTGTAACAATATCTAATTTCACATACTCCTTTTCATGTTCTAATTAAATTTCTTTGTATATGTATATTGTCTATCGTGTCTAGATCTATTTTATAGTTGGAGGTAGTATTATATTTGGTGCAAAATATGTTTGTCACTCGGAATAATCTTAACCTTGTTACACAAATGAAATGGGAAGAAAAAATAGAAATTTTATCTTCAATTGTTTCTAATCTTGAAGCAATTCATTCTAAA